TCGTTGTGTTCACTCCCAGGGGAACTACTTCGAGGGTGATGGATGAATTTAATACCTGAGATAAGTGTACGGGTTTTTATACGCGCAGTCTTGAAACTTTCCGATCGCACCTCGTATTATCATATTAAAAGTTTTTACTGAGCCACTTTTAGAATGGATACAGAAATGTCCTACATGCTCTATGTCACCAAAAGTGCAAAATTAAAACATATGAGCTTGTACTTGTTCTTTTAAATAAACTTGCAGTCATGATGAATTTTACTGACTGTTTCTCAGTAGGTGTGTGAGAAATTTTTGCATTGCCTCTCAACAAATCAAAGACAATTAGTGAAGTTTTGTTATACAGAAGCAGCCATTTGACATTTTGTCTTTTAATTGCTGCAGACAAAGCAACACTTCACTGTGTACATGGGTGAGTTTCACTAAAATTAAATAGTGGGTATTTAGATTAATTATGTATTTTAATTGGTAAGTCTAATCTTTGGTTTAACTGTTAAAGATAATAACATTATTGTTGCTATCATGTTCATCCTTTAGTATTATCTTTATTAACCTTGTAAAACCCTAGCCAGAAACAATTAAGTGTATTTTCAGTGTGCAGTGTGCTTTCTGTTGTGTGGTATGTGCATGATTTGTGAAAAAGTAGTGTGATGCTAATTCATACAAAGGAGACCTGAAGATGATAGTTGAAACATGTCACCTTGAAACTCTACTGAATAGAGTTATGTAGATGAAAGGATAAATAATGTTATCAAATCTAAAACTGTCACATAACAGGATGTTAAAGCGTAAGTTTGTACATTCCCAAGTTATCACGTGTCAGCCACTCATCAGTGTGCTGGTATGTTAATCTATGTTATTTGTGATATTGCAAGCCTGAATTATTTCAGAAATGCAGTAAGATGAATTGGTCATTGGGTTTTTATTTCAGCATTTAAAATAGTTTATTACAAAGCAAAGGTAGCTGTTTTTGGAGCCACTACTTTTTTTTAATTTTTGTAGTAGGAATTTTACATTAGTAATGCTTCCATTTGTTCATTGAATGTGTTTGTTTAATCTTTATACCATCAAATATGTGGTACTTATTGTCAGATTTTATGGGCTATGTTTTATGATAGAAAGATCTGGCTTACATTTAATTTTGTATTATGGTCTGAATTCAACCAGAAATTTATTTACACTGAAACTTTTGTAATTGACTCACAGTTAGGCATTTCATGTTATGGTGCCACTCTAAATATGGTAGAAAGGTTAAGTGTACATTTTATTGTGCCTTTTATCTTCTTATGCTATGTGGCCTGTTTACAGTTGGTGTATTTTGGTAGTAAATTTGTGCAGTTAAGTTGAATATTTTCATGTGATATTGTAGTAATTGTATATTTTTATTCTTTTTAGACTGACTAGATCCAAGAATTGGCTGTTTGGTGTGACATGAAGAAAAATGGAATGAAGGCGGACATATTGCATGATATTGCTTAAGGTTTTGTTTTGTTTTTAATTTTTTTGTTGTGCATATTTTATTTATTTAGTAATTATTCACAAGTTACTCTAATTAAAACATGTTTTTGTAAAACCTGTAGTAAGGCATGTATAGGCAGCAGATATTTGTCTGATGCATTTCCTTTCAGAATATCTTAAACAAGGGGATGTTTTTATTACCATTGATTTTCAATTTTTGGAATACACCATTACAAAGTACTGGAACTCTTATTAGATTTTAATATGAAAGTTGATCTAGTAAGAAATTGAGAGGAAACTAAGTATATGTTTATATCTGACCACCAGAATACATAATATAAAGACAGCTAATATTCCTCTGAAAATGTGATGATTTAAAGTACATAATAATGAATGTAACAAATTAAAATTACATTTACAAATAAATTAAAGAGCAAATAAAATTTTGACTCTAGTGCTGTCATTGAGTTTAAAGTCTTTTTTGCTGTCTCATATCTAAAAACAAATAATATGTACTAAACTGCAGTGAGGTATTTTTCCTGAGCACCATAGCAAATCTCAGAACAACTACTGTGAAATTGGCCTATGCATTATGGGCCAGCCATATCCTTAATATTGGGTCCCATTTTGCTTTAGTTTCCGCAACTGTACTTGACCACTGTAATAAGCATTGGAGTGAGTGTTCATGTGAAATGTTCTATAATAAAAACAAGATAAAGATTTTGGTGTAAATTTTGATTCTCATGGAAGAATTATTCATAGAATTTTGATATATTATGACTGTGATTGTTGAAGAAAAATTGTGTGAAATTGATTGTAGGCTTGAATATTCCAGAAATTTCTCATATGCCTCGCAATAGAGACGAGAGTTTCAACTGTCAGCACAAACTGTCATAAGACCCCCTGAAAATGAAACATTTTAAGACAATAGCAGTGCATGAATTTTAACCATATGATCCTGCAAGCAGAGAAATCTTTCATATTTGGATTCTTTTGTCTGTTTATGATGAATGCAAATTTTGTATGGTAATGTTAGTAATATGTGAGGTACAACAGAGTGTCTCCAGCATTTTCTATAATTGGGGTAAGTTTTGCTTTTCATGTGTTTAGGCTGTAGGTTTGTCAGTTCCACTAGCACTTTAAATGTCTGGGGGGCCAGTATTATGGGTCTGCTTCAGAGATTCAGTGATTAGCTATATGTCAGAAAATAATCTCACTGTATAATTTTACCTGTTGTTTTAAATGGTTGTGAACCAAACATTGCAGCTGCATAGTTTGTACTCCTGCTTTGTATTTGGGAGGTCAGAGTTTTGAATCACACCACTTCCTTTCATATTTTTCCCAATTCATTACTCATTAATCATCCTATCATTTGACACAATGTAGTCTCCGCTGTTGACATTGTCATTAAATATTCAATATATAAGAAAATGGGTACTTGGTCTCTTGCACTAAAGAATGAGTGTGTTCTAGAACAAAATTGTATGGAGAGTACTAATATTTTGACCAGAAAGAAAGAAAAATCAAAAGAAAGATACAGAAAGTTATGTAACAAAGTGCTCCATTAATTGGTAATAAACAACATCTACACAAGCACTCATGTGTCTGTTTAATTTTGTGTAGCTATATTATGATTCAAATTATATCTTTCAGTTCCATCTGCTGTCACTGATACAGAATAAGAGGTGAAGTGGTAGCAATTGGAACTGAAAAATATAATTTAAACTTTAAAATAGTTTAAAGTTAAGTTAGTACACAGCATTACTCAAAAAACTGTGAATTATTTATTTTGGTTCTGGTAAGCTACATGATTCAACATACACAGTGTCATTATTAGGCTTTCTTTTCATAGTACCACTTCTGTTAGATGCAGTTTACAATTGTGGGTTCCTGAATTAATTCACACACACACACACATGGGATTGTTTGCCATCATTAAATAGTAATTAATATTTTCTTTACAATTATTCTAAAATCTCAAGACAAATTGAAAGTCAAGTTTGAAATTACATAAATTAAAACATCATATAGTACTGATGTGATAAAGGTACAGTAATGAACTTTCAGGTTCCATAAAAGTCAAGGAATTTTTTTACTAGCTGAGCAACACTGATATTTTCAATAAGTCTGCTTCATGCAGTTTGTTAAAAACTGAGTTTCCATTCTGTTGTTTTAATATATCCCTGTTAAAGAATCATATAGACAACTAAGAAGCAAAGGAAAATTTCCAGTCCAAGAATACGTATGGCTGTTTTCTGGGTTGTAGCGCTGTGTAGTCTGGTAGAAGTTTGCCAACATTTCAGAGATTCTCGCTGCCTCCGTCATCAGGGCGATGAGACCTGATGATGATGATTATTGTCACCCTGATGATAGAGGCAGCAAGGACCTGTGAAATGTTGGTCAACTTCTACCAGACTACACAGTGGTACAACCTGGAAGACAGCCATCTTTGAACTCACTGCTGTGAAAACCTCAAATCTTACTTATGCATATTAATGTTAAAGCACTGGTTGAAGTTTTGCATTTTATCTTTTGTAATTATTAATTAAATAATTATCCCTAGTAAATTAGCATAATAATTGCTAAAGTAGTAAGATATTAATATTAAAAAGACATTATTTATGTCAAATGGAAGGTACATAGAATTTTATCTTTGACCCTTTTTTGCCAAGTTTGTTTTGTTTTTTGAATTTTATTTATTTAAAAAACAAAACAAAATAATTGTATCATATTTTAAGAAATGGAAAATTTTTGTGGGGCATATATATGAATATATTAGAGGACAGAACAAATTCGTTGTTGCTAAGAAATGTTTGAACAAATATTTTATATACACACAGAACTTGTTTTCATTGGCTCTCTTCTATCATAGTTCTTTATATTTAAGGCATCTGATAATTGTAGTGAACAGTAGTACTTTAAAGGAAGTATCTTAATAATAGATGCAGGGTGTACAAAAAGTACAGGCAGTGACATAAGTGTGCAGGATATCATTTTGTAGACAGAAGAAAGGAATCACAGTGTTCTGAAACAAAAAAGTTGGTAAAGTTTAATTGAATGTTATCAACAATACCAAATACTAAAGTTTGTGAGGTGGAACAATACTGATGCCATTCAGTATAGAATCCAAAAGTATTGTTTGGTGATGATCCTTGAAAAATATTATTGTTACAAACATTCTTTAATAAAATGAGAAATAACATCAACATGAATGTGAAGTATCATTTGTTGATGGTACCTGATGATACATTATAAATTAACACATGACATTTGTATGGTGACATTCCTTCAGCACCTTAGTACCTTTTAATACTTGTTACATACAGCATATATGAACAAACTGTTTGGTATTTAATTGAAAAATATATCATAATAAATTGTTTATATTGTATAAATTACTATGAAATGATTAAAACCTTGCTGTGTGATTTTTATCAGGCCAAGCGCTATGTAACCACTGTCGTGAGAACACTCATCGAGCCAAGATGTTCTCTACACATGAAGTTGTCCACATGTCTAAGTGTTCAAAGGAAGGCCATCGTCGGGTAAGTTCAATTAATGTCATTCAGACATTTATTAACAACCACAGAACAAGTACAGCACATCCCATAGGGCAGCAACCATTTCAGAAACTTGTAATAACATGTCCTAAATGTGTTTGTTGTAGGGGAGAGGAGAAGATACTTGATCAGCAAGGATTACACAAGATCTGTTAAGGCACTGATGGAAGATAATAGCTGTTATATTTTATTGTTGTCAGTTACACTTGCTGCATTCTTCTGCAAAGGATTGGAATTTATTTGCTTTACTAAAAATTATGACTTGTGTCAAGTGGGCCAATGGTAATTGATTCTGTGGGTATATAGCCAAAGTAGACAGTGTCCATCTGAAGAATGTGGTATTATACATGCATTAAATCCCATAAATATTAAATAATTTTTTAAAAACATGTTGCCTCATGGTTTCTTAAGTTACAGCAAAATTTAGGGACTTGTTTTTGTTTTTATTTATGTGGGAGATGGTATAGCATATGTAAGTATATTGTATTGGATCTTGCCAAGTCAGATTTTGTTTGTTTAGAAGAGATTTGTTGCACAAATGTTTTAATGGCACAGTAAGTAGCTTCTCAAGGACTCTGCTTCTTCTGTAGTTAACAGCTTGTTCCCAGACAATTAAGTGTCCAGAAATTTTATCCCGGACATTTAAATAATGGCAGGAAATCAAATAATATGATAGACATGGCACCATTTTTGTGAGTTTTGTGTTTGTAAAAATATTTGTTCATTCCTGACTGTATATGTATTACAGAAATATTCAGGAGTGGTAAGAATGGAGTATTTGTATATTATTTCCACAAAATTTAGTGCTGTGAAAGTTGATACTTCTGTCACAATTCTAGCACTCCTATTACACATTCTTTTATTTTATGTGCATATGAGTAAAATAAATTTCATCTATGGGTCTCTCTCTGTTTTTCTCTGACATTTTGTTGTTGTTGTTGTGAAACGTTGTGCTCACTTTTGCCCTCTCTGCTGATGAAGTTAAACTCGCATTAGTTCTTCACTGCTGCTGCTAGATGAATATTCAAGGTTATCAACGGTTTCATTACTTACCAGTTTTAATATTGATCTGTATAAGATTCATTCACTAATTTAGATACTGCACTGTCATCAGTATTCCTAGTTTTCAGTCTCAGATGATATGTTTTGCTGGTTCTTGGACGTAGCTTGTCTTGCATGAATTGCGCTACATGATCTATTGTTTAACTTCAGTGATTTATTTTCTCACATGATAAACTTTTGTTATGATGTGTATCATTCCCTTGGCCTTGGTTATAAGACAACATAGGGAAGACAAATATTTATTGAGTGTTGAGTCACAAGCAGTACATTGGTAGTGGTCTACCTTGGGTGGCATCACTTCACATTGATTAAGTCATACTGGAAGCATTGATCCGCAGGACACTGAAAAGTTCATGACAATATTGTAGTTAGTTTTTGTATAGCTGTTTTTTTAAAGTTGAGGTTGTACTAGTACAATCTCTGGAATCTTGGCTAATGAAATAGCTAGCACTGATACAAATTCCAGGCCCAAAGTATTAACACAACCACACCTGACCATAAATATATTATAGCATTCATGCAGTGTTTATGTTTTACCAAAGAAGCTAGTTTTTACAATTCATTTACATTTCAAACACAGTTTGAAATGTCAGTATTTCAACGAGACATTATATTTGTACATGTTTTATGAACTACTAATGCTTTATGTACCAGTTATAACATAACCTGTAAGAAGAAATGTTAAGCTTTGTGTCACACTGAAAGTGTCTGATGATGGGTCTAAGATGTTTAAACATGTGGCACCAAATAGAAAAAACTTAGGAATTAGATTTTGGAATTTCTTCAAAGCTGTCCTCTTTTCCTGTATTGGTAATGGATGCCTTATTTTTCTGTAATTCAGTGTGCAGTTCATGGGGAGCAGTACATTATGTTTTCCAACACACAGAAGAATATGCTGTGTGTTAATTGCTTCCGGGATACACCAGCAGAAGCCAGGTTACATTGTGTTGATATCGACACTGCATATACACAGGGATGTAAAAAACTTGATCGAGCAGTTTTGGTAAGTTTGCTGCCATATGCCATTATGGAAGCCATAGGTGGTATCCTTCATGTGTTCCTTATATTTAGCTAGTAGTAGATACATTCTTTTGTCATTGCTTGTATACCACAGTAAACTCCTGATTGTCTGTGTGTGGATTATCTGGTTTATGGATTGTTCATGTGCACAACTTCCCCCCCCCCCCCCCAATGCTGATTCATATGAACTAAATGTTCATTCTCTTACTGCTCTGTACTCCAGTACTTCTCTGTCTTTTGGGGAGGGGGGTTGCATTGTGGTCAGTAGTTGCAGTAGGGCCAGGAGGTTTGTTTCATTGGTCATGATGATGGGGAGAGGGAATGCTTCAGGTGTTTGATTTTTTTTCTCAATATTTGTGTCTTACAGTCAGTACTGTGTGTCAGTTGAAAGTGATTCATAACACTTGTGGATCCTGAGTAAAGTGGCTGAAAAACATAAAATTATTATGAAAGTGAAACAAAAGCTTGAGTTAGTTGAACATTTCTGGAAAAGGGAATCAGAGACAAAATAGGGATAGGGATGCAAAGTGCGTGTGACGTGAAGAATAACAAAATTTATTTTTATGAAATTTGTAAGGGAGTGTGATAATGGTGCTGGACATTCTAACCCCAAGAGTATGGTTCAATCAGAAGTAACCAGAAGGCACATCTGTCTGTTCCCATGCAGAACACATTATGGTCATATATATTGTGAAAATGTGTCTGAAAATTACAAACAGAAACTTGTAGTAATTGCAAAAGAGAAAAAAACTCAAGGGTGTCAAAGCTGGTAGTTTTTCTGTTCATAATTACAAATTATTACAACCTTTGGAGCTTATATACAACCCATGGACCAAGGAGTGACTGTGTCCATGAAATATGCTACCGGGCTGACCTTCTCAGAATTTTTACCAATGAAGGTGATGACATAATAGTGTTGTGGGAAAAAATGACAATGTTGGGTGCTATATACAGTGTATCTTGGGCATGGCCTTCTGTGAATCCAGTAATGCAGGTTTAATCATTGGTGAAATTTCTTCTAGATCTAGAAGAAGATGATTTGTGATTTCCTAACTAAGATTTCAGCTAGTATGAATTCTTGGCATGGTGTGTGCTGTAGAAATTTCAGAATGGTAATGAAGAAAGCTACAGAATGATGTATTTGTGAACTGGGCTTCCAGCACATGACGGACATGGACATTGTCTAGTGCTGCCATGAAATAAAAGGGAGAAGAAGAGGATGGGGAGGATGAGGTTTGAAGAAGAGGGGGAAAGTAATGAGTTCATTGATCCCAGCTTGGCATTACAGGGTGTTGACACTAATAGACTACATGGGTCAGAGGGTTTGAATATAGTGACATTACAGCAGCCAGAAAAATTTGTGCTTCTGTAAGAAGGAGTCTAAACAGTTTACAGAAACAAGCCACCATTACAAACTGTTTCTCATAATAAATAGCTATTGTGTAAAAAATGTAAAGTAATTTGTGACATTTTATGAATTCACCGAATTGAATGTTTTTCATTATTCATGTTTTTCTGTTATTTGTGTGTCTTCTCCACTTTATTAGCCCAGATAATCAAGAGTTTGCTGTAGTTTTAGAATAAAAATAAGTTGTTATGGCCAGTGCTTTGTTAGTTACATAAGTTATTTAATTTAATACTTTGTTGTTTTAGTTCTTGATTGTAGTGCAGTGTCTGAAATTTTCTCACTGATTTTCTCTTAAGGCCAGCAATTTTTGCTAATGATATTTATGAACATTTCTACAGTCATAAATAAGTACCATAGTCTCTTAATTGCCTTCTCTTTCTCTCTGTAACTTCACACCTGCCAGCAGTCTTGATTGATTATAATTTTTCAAATTAGCTATTCTAGAAAGCATGTTTTTCCATATTTTAGCCTCTGTCATATGAGAATAGAACATGTAAAGCCCCATACTATAGGGATGCCAGCCAGACTTTTAAGTTCTGGGTTTGGCAGTATGCTGCTGTGACATGTGGCAAGCTAGACTGTGCTGTGCTGTGACACATGGCTGATTAAGGTTAAATTACATTCAACAATTAGTTTATTTTAAATTTGATGTTCCATGCTTTTTGCAGATTTCATTTTACAAGAAAATAGAGATTGTTCTCCCTTCCCCTTGATAATCACCAGGAATATTTTTTTCTGTGTTTTGAAAATGCATTCAACAATTAGTGTACCTGCTTTATTTTTTTTTTATTTTTTTTATTTTTATTTTTTTTGTTTGTTTGTTTGTTTGTTTGGTAACTTTTTCATAGTCTTTATGGTACACATCCTGTCTAAAGAAGTGATCTGTCAAGCTTGTTTTCATTTTACTAATCTGTTATTTTGAAGATTTCTGTCTTCTGGGTTGTTGCGCTGTGTAGTCTGGTTGATGTTTACCAACGTTTCTGAGGTCATACTGCCTCCATCATCACATTGTTATTTTATTGTTATTCTTATTTTTTGTTATTATTATTTATTCTCTGTTGTGTTATTTGTGTTGGTTTTGCTCACCATTACTGCAGATAATTACAGAGTTTACTGTATTTTGAATTTAAATGCTCATGGTGTCTTGCTGTATTAGTATTCACCAATTATATCTTCAATATTATGCTGTTAAAATTATTTAGAAAATGGAAACCAAAATACATCAAACTTCATTTTTTATAACCCTTTTTTTCTTTGTGTGATGGCTGAAGGTAATTTAACCAATGTGGGTGAATTCCTGCCAGATCTGAAACTTCTAATCGTTGTTACAGTATATGAAGTTATATTGAAGCATGCTTAGAAACATTGCATTAATGACAACTCTATTCGGTCTTGAAGGTGCTGTGCATGAGCATGAGGATGTTTATATAAGATCCACAGTAAGACAGAGTGGTGTAAGCAATATTAAATCTTGCTGAAGGCATATAGAAAGGTATGATTGTGTACCACTATCAACTCTTTGGAACTCTATCCAGAAAATTATTTAATTTTAATCCATAACAAACTAATCCATTATTTAAGTTGGTTCAAATATAGATGTACTAGAACTGAACCATATCACTAACTGAAAACCAAACTGAACTCCACAGTTTTTATAAACCAAACCATTATTTTATTCAGTTTGTCACTAGAAATGCAAACTTTGGTATAATCAAATCAGTATTTCTGATTGAAAGTGAAGATTTGCAGACATTGATATGCTGCTGCTATAAGATTCAGTTTTCCTTGCAACATTCTAGCTTACAAGGAATAACATGACCCAAGTAAGGATCAGTCCCATGATCATACATGCATGCAAGGAAGCAAATCAGCTCCTCGTGGAGGAAGAGTCATCATATCATATGGTATGTGAAGAGTTCTTGCTTATTGATTGGCATTGGTTGCAGTCAGTGTGTGACCTGCAGAATTCAGTCCGTGAAGGCCTGCTTATGTTCAAGACACTCCTGGAGGAGCTGCGACAAAACATGGAGTCCGAGAAACATACCATCAATAGTTTCTGCCAGGGGATGCAGGAGGCTATAGCTAAGACTCATGCTAGTATGATCATGGAAGTGCAAAGGTGAGCCAGATATTAAGCTACAGCAATTGTTTTCAAAACTTTTTTCTCTGGAATACGAGATTCTGCATCTAGTTTCCAGAAGTTCCATATAAAAATGTTTCTCATGATAGAATTTATATTAAAATTACAGTTTCAAAATATGTTTTTCTTGTGGACAAACCCTTCAAGCTAGAGTTCAGGTCTGAGAGCTTGGAATGTGAGAATTATGGTTACATTGTGGTTGTAGTTAATTGTAACAAAAATGGAAAGTGAGCCTGAGACAGAGGTTTTCATTCATTATGCATTCTTTCCACAGTGTGCATGAAAAGAATGCAAGTAGTGCTGATAAGTCTGTCTACTAATTTCCTGCAATTGGTAATGCTAACATTATAGATGCATGAACTTGTGTAGTGGGAGTAATGCTTGGACCACTTAATGTAGGGCTCTTAAATGATGTATATAACAGATCTTTGAAAAATATATAACTTTTGCTTTGATAATACTTTGTACAATGTAAAACAACATGATTGTTGCAAGAAACAGTAATATATATTCTGACTGCCAGAAAATACATTGTATAATGGGGTTGAACATTTATATTTATTGAGACATTAAGAGCACATGATTTGCAGAGTTACAAATTTAAGTTGTTTAAGTAAGGTAATAGACATTTTATTTTGAATACTTTTTTTTAAAAATTCAGAGGTTAATATAAATCTTGATGTATGCTGAATATATTGCTTATATTTAATAGTATGTAGGGTAAAAACAAAGTCATAGCCCTTTGTTTGAAACTGCTGTTCTCTCATCAGTCATTTTCCATTAAATGAATTAACCAGTGGAGATGAAAGAAAACTACATTTAAAATGTGTTTATGTACTTCTGGTATTGGTAGTGGGATGTGTGTTAAATTCCCTTCAGTTTCTTTTGTGAATAAGGAGTTAAGTAGGTTAGAGTTTATGAATAAATTGTATCCTACATTAAAAACATAAGCATATGTTCTTAAATCATGTGATCAATTGCTATGCTTATGTGGACACTACTTATGATAACACTTGTGTATTAGGCCCATATGCAATACTGTAGTTTTCTTTTTCAATTAGGACCATCTAGAATACAAAGGTTAAAATAATGCATGTGGAAACTTGTGTATTTTGTTATACCTTTGCAATCTCATATTATATAGAATTTAAGTGATTCATTGCATTATGCTCTGCCTTTGGAACCAAAAACTTCTAATATCAGTGAGGCAAAAACTGGTAAGAGAACTGGATTATGATTGGAATTGCTTATTTTTCAGACTGTTAGAAACACAGGAGTATAAGATTCACTCAGATTTTAGAGGGGAAATTTTCATAAGCATTCTTTATATCTTATATTTGGAAATACTTTAGATTGTAAAAACACCCTGATATTTCAGGCAGAAATTTTCAGGAAAGAAAGTGTATCCTGTATTCTGGGAAGATATGGTACTTCTGATTCTGCAGTAAAGTTATAATCTGTTAAACTTAGTTTATGAATTTCTTTTAAAGTTTGATTCAAGAATACATAGAGCAGAAATATTTTAAGTTTTGGTCACTATTTGTTGAGTCCATACGAATTCTGCAGGCAAAAAAGGTTGCTAATTTCTGGCCTATAGAACAATTTTAAGACTTCTGTGATGTGCTTGTAGTGTGAATTTACTGTTAGCTGTGAGAATTCTATTATAAAGACTAGAACTAATAGTAGCTTTGTATTTTTGCAGGCAGTTTGAGACAAAGGAACGTCAATTTCGAGGACAGTTGGTCAACCTGGGTACAGTTCTGCCACTTCTTCAGCTTCATTTGCTTCTGTGCTCACTGTTCTCCTCAGCAGCTAATAAGTATCAGTTCCTGGATCTGGCTTTCCCAATGATGGATCGACTAGCAGCTGTTTCTCAGCTTAGTCAACCACCTAGGTTAGACCAAGTTACCAGACCCATTCTAAAACTCCTTAAAATGGTTTTTGCAGCAAAAGAGGTCTAAATACTTTGTATCCTGTAAATCATTTCAGTCCATCATTAACAACGTTTATGTTGCGGTCTGTCATATAATATGAAATAGCACTGAATGAAAAGGGCTGAAATGAATTCGGACATGGAAGTTACAATTCGGTTTTCAAAACATATTGTCAGTTACAAGAGTGGTGCTGCTGTGGGAAGTCAGAGGTAGTAGCAAGATTCTTGGATGGTCATGTAATAAGTTATGGAAATATATTCAATTTGTTGTCCAATTTTACTATTGTCCATAGTTTTTATACATTCTTTGCAAGATGAATGCTTAGAGAAGTGACTGTGTGTACCCATCCATGTGTTTCATCTCTGAAACTACTTGATATGTTTTGATAAAATTCAATGTGTGTGGAGGTCTGCACTGTAATTTGTTCAATGAATTTAATTTTGGCATGTATTTATAATGTTGTCCCCCCAATAACTTTCCAAGAATTAACAAGTTTTCATGAAACTTGTCTGAACATCATGGCACTATAGACCCAACTGTCTTTCTACTACCATTAATAACAATGTGGCTGTCATGTGAACTTGTGAGGTGGGAGTGATACTAACGTCACTAAACATAGGGTTCAGGAATTTTGTGTAGTTTTAGATCTCTGGAAGTTGTGTAACTTTTGCTGAGTCATTTGTTGGGGAGGGCGTGTAGTTTGTAAAACAACATTATGGTGATGTGGAATTCACATTTAGCATTTGATTTAACAGTAATTGTTATTGGAGGCAGACATGACATTGTGTAGGGTCACCTACAAATTCTATATGAAATCATTTTTGTGTGTTGATAATAACAGACATGGCTGCTGTTCAGAACTTCAAACATAATGGGAATCTGCTAATGGACATTATGTATATAAATGGATAATTATTAATTTAGTGTTCTTTCTGCTCTCATAATATAGATTGAAGAATTTGAAAGAATGCAGGCATTTTAACTTTCTTCCAGAACTTCTTGTTCTTTAGTAAACAGGTACCAAATGCAAAGAATTCTTTCTCTTTGACCTATTTAGATAATCTGTGTTTTCAGGCCTGTTCAGTCAAGTCAGATTCGCACCAACTATCGTAGTGAATTCTCTCATGCTTTAGAGCCATGGGTTGGGAAAAGTATCATCACAGCTACACAGCAGCAGCAAGCAGGTGGGGAAATGGGGCCACCAGTGCCAGGTGAGATGTTGTGGAATGTTGTAAAATCTATCATGGAGCAACACTTTTGTCCTGAAGAAAATTATGTAGGAGGTGAGATTTGAGGTTTTCATGCCACTGAGGATGACAGTGTTCTTCTGGATTTGGGACTGTATAGACTCGTAAGTAGATGCTGACATTTCTCTAATATGTTGGCGTCTGCTAATAAATCCATATGGCACCAAAACCTTTGTCATCATTATGTAGGATGTACTTGCTATATATGTATACAGTCAAACCCCATTAGAGTGCCACTGTTGTCTACCATCAGTATTGGCATTAAAGCAGGGATGGTGGTTAATGGACATGTTTTAATTTTGGGTGTACTTTTATTTATTGTGCCATATGGTGTGTGAAATACTTTGTTACATTTGAGGACCAAAGCAAATGCAAAATTGTGGAGTATATATCTGTACTTTGTAATGATACCATCTTATACAGTAGGTCTATTTATATCTACTATAATATCATGTTTTGCAAAATACCAGTTTTTGTATGAAGTATGTTCAAATACTTTTGCTTGTTTTTTAATGACTTCATCAACTTCTGTTCCTATTTTTCATAACTAACATATTCTAAAGGCAAAAGTTATGTTGTTTGGGCTATTAAAAAATAAGCCATAAAAGTTATGTTCTTTGGGCTATTAAAAAATAAGCCATGTCAATGTAACTTAAATGTACCACTCTTGTTTATTGCAGCTTGAAAAAGATTGTTAGTTGATTTTTTACTTCTCTTAAACATAGTAACAGTTTTTTCCAAGGACAGCTGCCTTCTGGGTTTTAGCAGCATGTATGTGGTGCTACAGCCCAGAAGACAGCCATCTGTGGACTCACCACCATGAAAACTTCAAATCCTGCTTATTTTTTCCACTTTTCCAAAGATTTGATTTATGTGTCACATGCCTTCTTTATTCCCATGCACATAACTGGTCTACCAGAATTCATGGAATTTTACCTGTTACTGTATGCAGCTTAATATTGATAATGTTTCTGTTTTCAAATCAGTAGCTCTTTCAATAGCAGGTTAATTTACTGTAACTGCCTGGATCTAGAGTTGTGCCATTTATAATGCTGAACACAAGTAACAACCTGTCTCCCTCCCCAAGATGCTATAACTGATTTCTTACTTGAATATGTTTTATTTCTTAACATAGAATTTTGTATAAGTTATTTTTATTGTTGAATATTCCATGGAGTTGTGTGTATAGCTAGTTGAGGGGGGGTGGGGTGTTGTACTGGACTTTTTTATAATTCCTAGTGAAACATTTTTATTGCCACATATGTTGGTTGTTGGCATCTCCTGTGGATGGCACTTTATCAGGAGATTCCCTTTGCAATATTATAGGGAGTTTTTGTCTGAGTCTTCCTTGGGCACACTGCAAGGGTAGTGGTGTACACAGAAGTGCTGTATTGGGGTTTGTCTGTGTTGCATGTTTTATGTTGAAAAGTGCTTGAATATAAATGTTTATATGATTTGTTGTTATTCTGTAAGCCACATTTTTAAAGTGTTTTTGGAGATAATGAAGGATTTTGGTATTGGTGGATGATGACCCATAATATGGTGGTCTAGTCTTTATTTGGAGTCTGAAGTCATAACTTGCCTAATTTTAAATCCATGATTTTCATCTATTGAATTTGCACTCTCAGGAAACAAGCCCAATGATTTTCATAAACCTCTATATATTAAATTAGCTCTGCTATCTCGTGCTCCTCGCATACTCCATGCTCTTGTCACTTAACGTTTATACTTGGAATTATGGGTAGAAAAATTCATACCTAATTTATGGAAATCTGTTCAGTCCTTTCCAAGTTATACATATTCTTTATGTCATCATCAGGGAGAAGAGTTCATTATGACTGATGACATAATCACATGCAATAACATAATCATGGGTACAGATGATCACGAGGAATGATTTCATCACAGCATCACTCTCCTACATCACAAAAAAAACTATAAGTAAAAACTATGAATTTGAAGTAACCTTCAGTGGCATAATGAAAATCCATTCAGCCATTGTCATTGATGTATATGGGCACATGGACAGGCAGATATATAGTGAACCTAATATACACTGTGAAGGGATTCTGGGAATGCACATAAGAGAGAAGTAAATTGTTTTGTCTGGTTATTCATCTTTTAAATAACTTCAGCAATATTTTAAATATGCTTCTTCCACTATAGTATATGGTATAACACAAGCCAAACATCATATTGAGAGCATCATGCTGGATGGATATATCAGCAAAATGGGTGATTTACAGGTTACTAAATTCTTATGCCTATTTGGTTTGTTAAATGTGCATTGTTAATGTTTATATGCCCAAATGTAACTGTATCTATGTGTAGAGCAACATCAGTATTAAGCCCTTTTGACATGACATCCCATTGTTTTGTCTTGTCAGACCGAATACCTCCAATTATGCAAATATATTGATATGCCCTTCTGGTATGTTTCCCTTAATATGGTGTGTATAGTGCCATAAACTTTCAAATTATGATTTTTTATATAATACAGATAAAGATGAAGTTCACATACAGAATTTACACCATAGTCACATAGTCAGTTGTCACTAAGTATGTGTGTTTTAATAGAGAAATTACAGTCTTTGAATCATTTTTGTAAGACAACATACACTTATGTATCAGGATTTTACAGGATGTGATGTGACTATGGAGTCTAGATCAAACGTGGGGTAGTAAACATATCTGAATGAGAAATTATTATGCACTTTTCTATATTACAAATGTTTATAAGCATCAAGAAAGATGTAGCACTTTTAACCCTTACTGGGTGACATAAATACTGAATTACTGCCATGATCATAAGATTATTTTTATAAAACATACATTAATATTGTTGAAAGTAAAATAAATATGATGCTAGATATTTCAGGGTTGATGGGAGACTACATCATAAAACATATTTCTCTCTTACTTAGTGACACCTAGGGGCAGTATAATAATCTTTATATAATAACTTGCCGCATCCTGTTTTGTGAATTAATCTAAGAACAACACTGCAGCATGGATATTTTGAAAAACCACCCTCTAAGGAGTGCCACTTTGTTGTTGAAATTCATGGTGAAAAGCACACTGTCTATGAATGTTCTTCTTTTTAGTAAAACATGGTGTGTTATTCTGAAATGCCTCATATAAATTTGCATTTACATTTCATTTCATTGAACAGGAGCTCAGTAGTCAAGGGTAAGGTTCTGAATTGCTGTACCACTGGCAGTATAATACAGTATAAGTTCAGCTGGCCCAGCAAATGATTAGTCATCTTATGGTAAACATTATTCTGCAGGACCTGGTTTGTATGAACCCTCACAACAGCAACATACTGGCCCACAGCCATCTGCCACACATTTCCATCCGCCTCCCTCCAGACGACAGCACTCAGCACTAAGAGCAAAAGCACTTGAAGGAGAGGGGCCATTCTCAAACCACTGCCGTAGTTTTGATACTCAAATTAAGGTATAAATTGTCTGCAGAAAGTATGTAAGAAAATATGTGCAATATTTGTATACTTTCTTCAGCCCATGGCAGAAAGAAATCTAATTTCCACTCTGGTGTCTGTGACTCATGTTTCCTGTTGTGGATGATGAAACCATGTTGTGGGCTGGTTTATCAGTGTTTCAGGTAAATCAGTAGCCTATATTTCCAGGGAAGAGTGGCTGAACTTAATCATCATGTTTGCAGTTATGAAGTTTTTGGGCAGTGGAATTTTATAGCCCTCAAAAGAGGTTCTAGGTTCAAGATGTTTTCTCATTGGTAGATGCATCATTTTGGATCCACTTATCAGAATGTTGAACTATGCACTTTCCAACTGCATAGTGCCAACATTTTAAGATTTGGTCACTTTGCCCTAAAGATGAAAAATTTAAATTCCTTCAAAACATGTCTGGTGACATGTTACAAAAATAGCTACTAGTTGAAATCTTCACTATAATCCTTCAGAACCCTAAAATGCACTGTGCCAAAAGCAAGTACTTTTAATACATTTTATTTATTCAGGAACTGAGTCAGCAGCTCTGTGGGGTAAAAGAACGTCTTGGAGAACTTCATCGTGATGTAACACTGCTGCGGAGAGCACATACTCCTCCATTATCTGCACGTTATGAGCACGTGACAAGAGAATGTGCTGTTCTGGAGGAACAGTTGGAACGACATCAGGTGGAACTGGAGAGACTCAAGAATGTTTTTGATACTCTCTGGGAAGAACAGTTATGTAGAATACATGTAGAGCAAGAGATCTTCCAGTCACAGGTAATAATGGGTCATGTTCACTGCATAAAAATGTAGGATACTATGGTGAAATGTCATACATTTGGTTTTTTATGAAAGTGGTTTTGACCTTTCTTCAAGGTCCAGTGATAGAGGCCATGCTTTTATGTAAGAAAATTCCATATGGCAGTGATGATTTATTGTGTATTGATCATTGTGGTGCATTACAAACAGACATGTAGAATACTGAAAGACATTTTTAAAATCAAGAAATCCTGTTATATACTGTGTAATCACTATGAATTTGTTATCACTGCATTCATACTGATTTACAAACACTTAATCATGTTAAGTAGGTTGTGAGGTTTTCATGGCAGTGGGTACAAAGATGGCTGCCTTCTGGGTTGTAGTGCCATGCAGTGTGGTAGACATTTGCCAATGTTTCAGAGGTCCTTGCTGCCTCCATTATCAGGCCGCCGTGATGATGGAGGCAACAAAAACCTCTGAAATGTTGGTAGACTTCTACCAGACTAAATGACACTACAACCCACAAGATAACCATCACTGTACCATATTGATTTTGATGTGTTTGTTTTCATTTCCCTTCTAGATGAATGATATCCTAACATTGCGTGCTGAAGTAAAACATCTAAGCCTTATAGCACATCAATTGGAACCATATGTAAAATCATTGGCTGCAGCTGAAAGAAATCAAACTCCTACTGATTCAGTACAACAGCAGCAGCATCAACATGAAACAACTTCATCACATCAACAGCTTCAGAGCCTGCTTGAACATATCAGTATGCTACAGCTTGATGCAGCCTCCTCGTAAGTTTCTGTCATGTTTTGTTCTGAATATGTTAGCCTAATAGAAAATGTTTTCTATATGGACAGTGTTTTAAAAGAAACAAAAATGACAAGATCATGACAAAGCTACCTATTTAAAGTGGGTTTTTTGTATGAAAGTACTATGATCACATCTGCTTCACAGTTATGAAAAGATATAAATTTCATTTATTTAACTTCAAAACAGTTTACCATCATGCAATTTTTAATATGTGTACAGAAGACTGAATTTATATTAAAGGAACAGCCACTTAATACAAGGTGCTAAGGTTTACTCTAAAATTTCCATTAGTTCCCATATCACAGGGCTGCATTACAGCTAAGTCTGCATCATATGTAGGTATGTTCAGTTTGTTAGTACAAAACTCATAACCGCATGTTGTGATCAAAGAGTGTTCTGCATGATATGAAGTCCCACCTATCAGATATTATTTTTATGGGTATTAAAGTTGTCCATAGAAGTTCTAACTTTTGTGAAAATTAAGTGCAATATTGTAGTATCATTTTATTTCAAATTCTGACTTACTTGAAAGTTGTTTTAACATATAATAAAAATTAACATGTTTACTGCCAAATGTGTCAATTATATTTTTATTATTTCATGTCACCAATGGCAAATATATCCATTAACATTTTAGTGCTTATGTACACATATCTCCTACAGATGTCACGCAAATGCAGTCAAACTTTCACAAATGATGAAGGAAGCTTTGATGTGTTAATTTATGCATTCACAATTTATATTCTCTTGCAAAACAGATTCCTGTTCCCATGTAAACATGTGGTTTCCTCAGTGTACAAAGATGACTTGCAAAGTGTGTAAAAGCAAAATGTTTATGTGGAAGTTAATTGCTATGCAGAATATCACACTCTACAGCATTAATAAAGGAAACCTGAAAATTCCATATAATTATTCTACTTCACTTAGTTTCTAAGATACTTAGGTTTTTCAACCTATGTTAAGACACATTCCTAAACTGTAAAATGGTTGGCAGAGGTTATTTAAATCCCGACTGGGATGTACGAGGTGCGATCGGAAAGTTTCAAGACTGTGTCAATAGAGGGCGAACCGGATGTAATACGAGCTTCTGCCGCTAGGGGGTGCGGCCTACATTCATAGCGAATCAGTGTGCCAGCCGGCATCATCGAATTAGCATTTGTTTCTTAGTTACGGGCGTTTTGGTAGTGCATTACACCGACCCTCCTGCGATTTCGGAATGGCGGATTTTCATGAACAAATCAAATTTTGCCAAAGACTCGCCAAAACGGCTACGGAAACCTATGAAATGCTAAAGCAAGCATTTGGGGAGTCCGCAATGGGTCGTGCACAAACGTTTGTGTGGCATTCACGTTTTAAAAACGGCCGAACTTCTGTCGATGATGACGAGCGTTCTGGACGACCATCTTCGAGCACAACGCCCGAAAATGTTACGAAGATCGAAGTCGTACCATCAACGACTTGTGCGACATTGCTGGGATAGGCTATGGGACCTGTCAGCTGATTCTAAAGGAAGAACTCCACATGCGACGCATCCTGTCTGAGGACCAGAAGCAGAATCGACTTCTCGTTTGTCAGGAGCTCAAAGATCTTGCAAGAACCGACCCCAACTTCCTTTCTAAGCTCCGTGTGACTTCTTCCTCTTCCCAAAGATGAAAATTCAGCTAAAGGGAAGGAGATTTGAGACGATAGAAGAGATTCAGGCAGAATCGCAGATGGTGCTTGACAGGCTGACAAAGAAAGATTTCCAGGGATGCTTCCAGGCTTGGCAGCAGCGTAGGATTGTTGTGTTCACTCCCAGGGGAACTACTTCGAGGGTGATGGATGAATTTAATACCTGAGATAAGTGTACGGGTTTTTATAGGCGCAGTCTGGAAACTTTCCGATCTCACCTCGTATGATATTGGACGTGTTAATAGACAAATGTGAATGATGTTTACTTTTAATTGAAACCAGTTACAGGTTGGATTCATTAGGAGCACAGAAGGGTGAATGCCGCATGCATCCTGGTCAAGTAATTACCTCTCCTACCGCTGAAAATATTATGTATATGAAAGGTTAGTAATGTTTAATTGAAAAGGAAAATTTAATGGAAGACCTTAATGCTTTTGTTCATAAATTTTACAGACCATTTAATCTTCTACTTGTTAGCATTTTTGTTTGGGAAGTGAGGATTTGAGCACTTCTTCATATGTCTGTTGGGTTAATGTTGCCAAAAGGTTTATCTTTGTTGTTGGGAATGGAATGTGGGGAGAAAAATCCAGGCTTTTTATTCTCAGAATGGAATATGCTCTACTCAGCTAAACATAAATCACCTGAAATGAAATCAGTGTCAATATTTACTTACACTTTTTTGGCTATTTAATTCAGTTGGTTTCTGAATTGATGTGTGTGTGATCTGTGATGATAAAGTGCATTTCTTTTTTCTTTTCTTTTTTAAGAAATCCTGACATTTCAAAATATACAGAATACTATTTTAAGATGATCCTTCACAGTGGATGGAAAGGAGGTACCAGTAAGGGAGGTGTCTCGAGTGCGAAGTTCATCTGGCCGGGAACAGCAGCAAGTAACTGCAGCTACATTGGATGTTAGTGGTAGTGGTGCCGGCATCTATGCCAGCCGACAGCAGCAAGCTTCTGCATTAAGCCAGAGTTTGCAGAATGTTGAAACAGGAAGAGACGGGAAACGAGGTGTTCTAAGTCAGCTAATCGAGAAGGTCAGTGAGAGTAACATGTACAGATATATGGAACCGTATGCTCCTGCATTTTGATCTATCAGCACCAGCTTGTTTGGCAAATCATTATATGATATCTCACATTGCAATAAAGTTAAAGGGATGGATCAGATTCAGTCAGATTGATAAGTAGTTAAGAGATTATTAAATTTGTATTTTTTCTTCATTTAGTGACATGCTCTTAATTTTCATTCTGTAAACATAGCTCATATGGCTAGATGTATGTTTCTTGCCACAGAGGCACTGATTCAATCGCATGACAGTGCAATGTAGGGCTTGTGATGGATGAAGTGAGACTGACAGTTGTTTTGCTTCGAGTTATCTTGTCATCAATGCTCCATGCTCATACATCACCCTTAAGTCTTATCAGCTATTAGATTATAATGAAATTTGGTACTTCGCCCCTGACCTGGCATTTGGCTGCAGTTGAGTAAAGCATTGAACAGAACTGTAATACATAACAGTAATGAAAACAGTTGAATTTAGCATAGGAGTCAGAAATTTATTCTGGACAAAACCTCATTCTAGTTCTGTCAGTATTTCACGTGTTTAATGACTATTGCAAATTTAATTTTATTATGGTATGATGGGTAGTAAGTTAGGTAGTTGGTAGCAAAATATGTGTGGTAGGAAACATTTTTGACCTGTTTCAGTTACTGTGCTGACAATTTTCCATCTTGGGAGATTGATGATGATTGAAAAATACTAAGTTACAATAATTCATGTTAGAAGGAAATTTGTGAACTTTCTGACATGTAAAGTGGTTTTCACTACACTTTGGTTTCAGCCGTTAAAGATATACAGGGTTATTTATAATTCCCTGACACATTAAAAAAATCCAATGTTGTGGCAAATGCTGATTGAGGTAGATGTGGGCTGACGAGGCGGTGGTAGTGTGGCGGAGCCATATCTTGCTGATAAATGAAGTTATCGCTGTGTTCATGAAGCTGCAGCATTAGCCATTCCTGCATCATCTCAAGATAGGACGTGCCAGTGACAATTGCCTCGGCAAAGAAGAATGGACTTACGGGGGCTGTGTTGAAACAACTCCCTCACACGATCCACTGTCTCCTCCGAAGGGCCTGATCGTTTTGCGCCAGAATTTTTCATACCACTCCTTTATACTGTTCCTCACCGGCAGGTCTTTTCCGAACTTGGTTCGAAAACTTTGCTGCACCATAACGATTGACTCTGTCCGAACATACTCAAGCGCGCAAAATGCTTCTCTGTTGCTAGCATCACCATTTTCACTCAACTAAACCCCATACGATATGGTGATATACTAACCTCTTCCCTGGCGGCCACCAACAAAACTAAGCGCCTGTGGCACGTACAGACAAATTTGAAGAGTTTATCTTTCTATCGGCATGTCACATGTTACCATCCTTTGCACCATTCAAGTCTGGCATTTTTTTATAATGTGTCAGGGAATTATGAATAATACTGTATTATGCATAGCATTGAAAAGGTTATAGCTTAGGCTTAAAATATTTTTTTCTATAGTATCTCTGGAGGTTATGCAGTATTATTTTGGTAATCATCCATTGGTTTCATAATCTTCTTGCTAGTATAACATAGTTTCTTTTGAATAACAGGTTCGTACAAAAGAGGATCGCAAGAAATCTCCAGTCCAGGAAGAAGCAAGGGTATTGGTTGGAAGAGAACGAAGTAAGTCAGATGGACGGAGCAGTGGTGGTTCTGGTGCAGTTGAAGGTGGTCGAACCAAGTTAGCATTGGGGCATCACGTAGATGAAACCAAGCCTCAAGCAGCAGT